TCATAGCCATCCTCCAACTTACCCCAGGCCTGCTCCAACAGATCTACCTTGAATTAGCTGCCTTTATGGTATGTAGCTGCATGAATGTGGGGCCAACCACTGGAACTTGGGCAACCTACACTGGTTGGCCACAGCACCACAGAAAAACTACTCTCCCTCCCCCAGCAGGGCTTTTCTCTTCTTTATGCTATGTATACTGTGTGTTTAACTAATATATCCAGGAACTGGAAAAATCCCCTGGGTCAATAAAAAGGCTCAGGACAAAACTTCATGTATAATCTGATGTCACCCTGACTGGTGAACCACAATGATAGCCTGGGTCATCAGGGATTAGCACTAATTCAGAACTGATATCTAGTGTATTTCAAGAGGTCTTGGTATTTTTCTGTCATCAGTGTGGAGGTCTCTGTGGTGAAAGCAAGGAGGGAAATTTTACCATATACACTTGTAAAAAGTATAGCAAAGCTTTTCTTCAAAGGAACCCTTCCTCTTCATTCAAGGGGCTTTAGTCTGTGAACTGAGGGAGAGATTGGGACTCTGCACTTTGGTGTCTAGACCTTCATTTGTGATACTAGATTTATTTTTGGTTATGCAACAAATAAGACTTTTTGGTATAGACTGTCCATCCATTTTAGTACCAGGGAAACCATATTAAATTAGTATTATAGATCTACACAGATCAATCCATTCTGACTACTGCCGTCCATTATAGGAACCACACTCAATTTGTCTCTGGAGGTGATCCCATTGAAATCTTCAAAACACAGCATGATTTTAGTATTTATCATCTCCATCCTACTTGGCCAAAAGTGAAAATGACCATGTGAGAGGTTTTAAGAAACTGGAATTCAGATAATGGATATATCCAGTTGCAGGGGACACTGGAAAATATAGTCTGAATTTGTCCTCAGGAAAAAGAGGAAAAACGTTTAATGACTACCTGGCCAGTCTCTGCCGTATTTCATAATGTATTTTTCAAAGCCCTTGTGAAAACAATGTTAGTATAGTGAGTTGAATGGATTACTATGATTAATCAATTCTAGCTTTTTTTTTTTTTCAGTCTTTTTAAGACAGGGTCTCCCTATAGCCACCAGTTGGCCAGGAACTCACTATGTAGACATAAACCAGAGATCTCTCTGCCTGTGCTGCCTGCTTGCTGAAATTAAAGGCATGTACCACCATGCCCAGCTAATTCTAATGTTCTTATTGCCCTAAACCTTTGCACTCTGTCTACATTGTCCCAGAGAAGTTCTGGCATCTTAACTTCATTTAACAGACTACTGTTGAGTCCAAGTTTGGGATAACCAATAAAACAACTTTGAGAAATACTCATAGCTGCTTCAGCTAACAAAGTGTACTTTCTATCATGTGCACTATGTATACAGGATTGCTAATGAGTGTATCCATATTAAAAAGTTTGACCTTATCAAAACCATGTGAAGATATCACAAGAAAAGATGGTTATAGAACACACCATCTTTTATGAATATAAACACAAAAACCTCAACGAAGCCTTAAACTAAATCCAGCAGCAGATTAAAAGTATTATAAACTGCAATGTGGTAGCATATGCCTTTAATCCCAGCAGAGGCAGGTGGAACTCTGTGAGTTCAAGTCCAGCCTGGTTTACATAGTTCCAGGACAGCTGGGGCTACAGGGAGACCCTGTCTCAAAAAAAAAAAAAAAAAAGTTTTATAACCTGTGACAAGTAGGGCTTACTCTAGGAATGCAGGTATGATTCAACATAAGAAAATCAGTTATAAAACAAAGGGAAAAAATAAGTACCTTAGCTTATATAGAAAATACATTTCAGATGCAGAAAAATAGTGCAGTGTTACTATGCCAACATTATAATTACCTGAATAAACAGAATCCTAATCCTAGTTTTAAAAAATATTTTATTTTTATTTTATGTGTATGCGTGTATTGCCTGCATGTAGGTAAGTGCACCCATGTTGTGCAGTGCCCACGGAGGACAGAAGAGACTGTCGGATACCCTGGAACTAGAGTTCCGTACAGTTGTTAGCTGCCATGTGGGTGCTGGGATTCGAACCCGGGTCTTCTGCAAGAATAGTGTTCTTAACCACTGAGCCATCTCTCCAGCCGCAATCCTAGTTTTTAAGAGCGACCCAAACTCTTTTCCCTAGATATTTCTTGGAACTGTCTCCTGGAACTGTGCTGGTGGAACTGTCTTGTTGAACTCTGTTGCAGGAACCGCCCCCCAGTTCTGCCCTGCCCATAATTTTATTTAAAATGGTTTCTCCAGCTCCAATTGGGGAAGTAGAAGCTTGACTCCACCCTAATGTTAGCAGACCATCTGGCCTTTTCATCCCTAGTTCTAGAATATCTCAATCACCCACGGTCAATGTCCTTCACCACCTCCACTGTGTCCAATGGAGATGGGGCACACCTTTCAGTGCTTTGATATGCTAATTCTCAAAAATATCCTGCGTAATACACATACAATCATCTTTTTTGGGTGGAGTACCAAATTGAGGTTGCCTAGGAAGAGATCAAGTACAAAGGTCACAAGACATAAAAGCGCATGGTTTTGCTGGTTTAATAAAAAGTCATTAGTCCAAATGTCCATTTGTAAAAGTCATTTCCACGAGAAAGCTGATAAATTCCAAAAAGTTGCGGGATGCAAGATCAGTATGTAAAAATCAGTTGTTTGGGGATGGAGAAATGGCTCAGTGGTTAAAAGCAACTGCTGATCTTGCAGAGGACCTGGGTTCATTTCCCAGCACCCACTAGGTGCCTAACCATAGTAACTCCAGTTCCAGGGATCCAGTGTCATCTTCTGGCCCCCACGGGCACTGCATACACATAAAAATATATGTAAAATTAACAAAAATTTTAAAATAAATTGGTTAACTTAAAAGTTCGTTGTTTTTTTTACATTAGTAACAAATGATCCAAAAATGAAATTAAAGCAGTTCCATTAGCATCTGAAAAAATACCCAAGAGTAAATTTAATTATGGAGGAGAAACACTTATACATTGAAAACTATAAAAAGGTTGCTGAAATTAAAAAAAAAAAAGGAAAGCTCCACAAATTCAATGCAATCCATTTGAAAATTCCAGCTGTCTTTTTACCGGCAAAGAAAAGCCAGTTCTCAAATTCAAATGGACTTGCAAAGGAGTAATAAAATGAATAGCCAAAGCAATGTTAAAAAAAAATCAAATCAAATGGTGCTGGAGACTGAACCTAAGGATGCGTACATGGTAGGCAAGCATTCTACCACTGGACTAATTCCCAAGCCAGAATACACAGTAAGGAAAAGAATAGTGGCTTCAACAGATGGTGCTGGGACAGTTGAATTTTCACATGTAAAAGAATGAAATTGGGCTGGAGAGTTGGCTCAGTGGTTAAGAGCACTGATTGTTCTTGCAGAAGACCTGGGTTTGAATCCCAGTTCCCACATGGCAGCTAACAACTGTCTGTAATTCCAGTTCCAGGGGATCCGACAGCCTCTTCTCTGCGGGCACTGCACGACACGGATGCACTTACCTACATGTAGGCAATACATGTATACACATAAAATAAAAATACTAAGCCGGGCATGGTAGTGCATGCCTTTAATCCCAGCACCGGGAGGCAGAGGCAGGTGGATCTCTGTGAGTTCGAGCCAGCCTGGTCTCCATTAGTGAATCCAGGCCAGCTGCGGCTACAGGGAGACCTTGTCTCAAAAAGACCAAATAATAATAATAATAATAATAATAAAATATTTTAAAAAGAATGAAATTGGACCCCCTGCTTCTCACTATATACTATTAACTCAATATGAATCAATTATATAAAGAACTAAAACCATAAAACTCTTTAAATGGAAACAGTTGATTTTCATGACCTTAAATTCAGTAGTGGATTTTTACATATTAAAAAAGCATGAGCAACATCAGCAGATACATTATAGTTCATCTGCATTTTGTTCTGTATCAAAGGATATTATCAGGGCTGGAGAGAGAGCTCGGTGGTTAAGAGCACTGGCTGCTCTTGCAGAGGACCCGGGTTTGGTTCCCAGCACCCATATAGTGGCTAAAAACTGTCCTTAATTCCAGCATCCACCCTTAATTCCAGTTCCAGGGAATCGAGCACCCTCTTCTGGCCTCAGCAGGCATTGCATGACAACAGGTGCACTTACATGCAGGCAAAACATTCATACAAAATAAAAGCACACACACAAAAAAATGTTTAAAAGACATTATCAGCTGGGCATAGTGGTGCACACCTGTACTGTCAGTACCTGGGAGGCAGAGTCAGGCGGATCTTTGTGTGATTGATGCTAGCCTGGTCTACATAGTGAGCTCCAAGGCCAGCTGGGGCTACAGGGAGACCCCATCTAAAAAACAATACAATACAGAAAAAGAATGAAATCTAAGAAATGAAAAGGCAGCTTATACCTAAGTGTCTCTGTGTGGGTATATACGCATGAGTGCAGGTACTGGCAGAACAGAAGAGGACATCAGATCCCCTGGGGCAGGAATTACAAGTAGTTGTGAGCTGGGAACCAAACTTGGGTCCTTTGCAAGAATAGTATGTGTTCTTCATTGCTAAGCCCTCTCAGCCCCTAGAGTGTATGTGTGTGTGTATATGTGTGTATGTGTGTGTATTGTCCACTCAGCCCCTAGAGTGTGTGTGTGTGTGTGTGTGTGTATGTGCGTATTGTCCAAACCTACAGGTTATGCCTCAGAAGAAAATAATATACAACTGATTTAAAGGTACTTATGTGCCCAATAGATTGAAGAATGGGATGTTTCGTACATATTAAAATCTTTTATCCCAAATGAAATGTCAAAATAATTTCCAGCTCACTGATAATGCCAGGAAGAAGAAAAATTCTCAGCCAATTTTCAATGAATTTACTAAGCAAAAAGGTAAAATTGATTTGCCCATGTAAATACTCAGATTTGAACTAATGGAACTAATGTGTAACAAAGCTGCTTTTTGAACTGACAAAAAGTATGGAATTTTATGGTTATTAAATATGTCACTTTTTAAAAATATGGAACACTTCACGAATTTGTGTCATTCTTGCACAGGGGCCGTACTGATCTCTGTATCATTCCAGGTTTAGTGTATGTGCTGCCAAAGCAAGTACCCCTAGAATATATTTATAATTCATGTATCTGCTAAGAATTTACCGTCCAGATTACGAAAAGAACTTAACAACAAAAAGGCACTCCAGTTTTAAAATAGGCAAAAAAAATCTGGGAATGGTGGCATGTGACTAATTCCAGTACTCATGAAGCAGAAATAGAATTTCAGGTTAGAAGCCAGCCTGGATTGCACAAGACCCAGTGTCAAAAAATAAGGGTGGACAACTTGAATAGACATCTCTCCAAAGAAGATATGAAAATGGTCAAGAAGCACATGAAAAGATACTCATAAGTTAACAGGGAGCTGCAAATCAAAGCCACGGTGAGACACTACGTACCTACTAGAATGGAAAGTGTGTGTGTACATACACTAGTGTTCACAGTGCCAGGTCCTTGAGTACTTGAGGCCTAGGGGATGGACAGGTAGACACAGACACAGAGGTATTCAGCACCAAGGCCTGGGATCTAGAGTATTATTACAAGCTTTAGAGGCCAGAGATTTACTGTTCCAGGTGTTCAGATTGGAGGCTTATTGCTCTGGGCTTTAACCACTAACTAAATCTGGTACTGGTAGTTATGCTCCTCATCTTCCAGCATTAGTGAGTGGCAGCAACAGGCAGTGCCTGCTAGTTTTAACTTCTGTGTATGTGTTGGGACCCTCGGGTCCTATAGTGGTGAGTGTCAGAGCTCTCATGCCTAGGGTATTAGGACCCTCGGCCTTTAAAGCTTGGCCACTCCCTGGCACTGTTCCAGTAACTGGGACCCACAATTTCTCATCTCTGGCTTTTCACAGCCTTCTGTCATTCCGCAATCTTGGCTGTCAGAATTCTAGCACTCCTGTACTTCCATCCTCCCTCTTCCTCACCACATATGCTCTCCATTGTTTCTGCTCCCAGCCACTCCAGCTGTCCTGTTACTGCTATTGATGCTGCTGAGGCAGCGCATGCTGCCACCTTACCACTGCTGTGACCCTGCTGCCGCTTCTAGTGTCTCCTCGTCATGTTGCAAGTTTGGCCACGCTACTAATGATTACAGTCAGAAAACAAAATATCACTAGAGAGAAGCCTTTTTAAAAAATAATTTATTGAGAATTTCATACATACATATAAGCTGTTTTGATCAAATCCATGTCCACTCCTTCCCCTCCAACTCCTCCCATATCTCCCCATCACTTTTTTCTGACAATTTCATGTACTCGTTCTTCTTTATTTTTTTATCGGGCTTTTGGCTACTCTAACATTCCCCCTTCTGAAGAGATAACCCTAAAATCTTTTTAAAAAAATATTTTATTTATTATTTTTATTTTATGTGTATGAGTGTATTGCCTGCATGTACGTGAGTGCACCTGTGTCGTGCAATGCCGCGGAGGTCAGAAGAGGGCTTCGGAGTCCCCTGAAACTGGAATTAAGGATGGTTCGCAGCCATCATGTGGGTGCTGGGAATCAAACCCAGGTCCTCTGCAAGAGCAGTCAGTGCTCTTAACCACTGAGCCATCTCTCCAGCCCCAACCCTAAAATCTTTTAAGGATTAGACAAAAGCCCCCAAATATTTTTGACACTTTTGGCCTTTGGAATGGAGTAGGTTGCTAAGAGGCCCAAGGACATTGTGAGTTTTAGCCAAGAAACTGGATACTTTTCTTTGGGGTCTTTTTCCCCAACTGCCTAGCCAATTCCTACCTCCTATTCTTATCACACCATCCTCTGAAGAGGTTACCCAGCTTGCAGATAGGGAATTGGGTCTCACCCACTCTGGCTTCTTCCATGTTGAACAGGGATGCAGGGCAAGGCAATTGGAGTACCCCTTCAGTGGGTCTATCTAAAAGACTCCCAAACTGCATAACTCTTATCTGTAGGGGGAAAGAAAGTCCTTGACTGGTGAATAGGAGATGTGAAGGAGAAGTAAAGGCAAGAATAATTAGCATTACAAGTTCTAGACAGGGAACTAGAAAAAAGTCAGAACAGGGCAATTTTCAAATGTTCATCTGAGAGTCCATTGGAATTTCTTGACAAGGGCTTCCAAAAGCATCCCTCTATTGGGTTCCTCCTCATTTTTCTTTTGTCTGCCAAGGCTGGACTCACAGTGATAGATTCAGGATTTGCTTTCAGGTATTTTGATAGCTATTGTAGTGGTTAGAATCACTGTCAGTTCCCTCTCAAAGGCTTCTAGATAGGGGGAGAAAACAAATTCATCCATCATTTTAGAACAATAGCTAGTTCTCTCCCTTAGCTACAGGTGGGCACTACAGTATTGCAGACCAAGATTTGAAGTCTTACGTCTGAGCAGCGCTTTCTGGTTAGGAACAAAACCATCAATGAGAAATAATTGCCTAAATAACTTTTTTTTTTTTTTTTGGTCTTTTTGAGACAGGGTCTCCCTGTAGCTCCAGCTGCCTGGAACTCACTCTGTAGACCAGGCTGGCCTTGAACTCACAGAGATCCGCCTGCCTCTGTCTCCCAAGTGCTGGGATTAAAGGCCAGTAGTGGTGGCACATGCGGGTAGGATATGCTGAAGAGGCAGAGACAGGAGGATCTGGAGTTCGAGGCCAGCCTGGGCTACACGTTAAAAAAGCCGGGCGAGGTGGGCATACCTTTAATCCCAGCACTTGGGAGGCAGAGGCAGGCGGATCTCTGTGAGTTCAAGGCCGGCCTGGTCTACATACTGAATTCCAGGACAGCTGGGGCTACAGAGAGACCCTGTCTCAAAAAAGACCAAAAAAATAATAATAACTTTTTATATGGACTTAAGCCTAATGTCTGGAAAGTATAATCCCTTGAACTCTTAAAGAAATATACTGATGACTTTACTCTTTGGTTATACTTTCCTTTTGGGTGTTTAAGACCATACAGTTGGCCCAAATAAATCAATTTATCTTTACACTTAAGGTCGTTTGAGGATCTCTTCCTCAGGGATCTCATGGGCTTGGGAGGAGCCCCTGGCTCCTTTCTTTTACCAGTTCTATCTATGTGGAGATAAGTCAAAGGTCCTGCTCAATCACGTCTGGCTTCACTTGGAAGCATAGATGAGCTGTTTCCCCTGAGTTGACCCTGAGAGAATTCTTTTAATGGGTATAATGTTGTAACACCAGGGGACAACACTGTGCTTTGTTTTTATGTAGTGCTGCCTTTATGGGACCAATGGTGTAGGACCATTTTTGGAACATACATAGCCTCTCCAGGATCACGTCCCTAAAGAAAACTGACTCTGGTTCCTCCTTCAGCCATTAATTGCCAATAGCTCCTCAGCTAGGGGGTGGGTTTTCATGAGCCTGTCTCCCTTCCATGCTGAGATTTTGGCTTATTTGATCTTGTGCATGCAGTCACAGCTGCTGTGAGTTCATGTGTGTAATGGCTCTGTCATGCCTGGCAAATACCATTTCACTGTACAAGCTCACTACCTCTGACTCTTACACTCTTTCTATCCCCTTCTTCTTCAATGATCCCTGAGCCTTAGGGGCAGGGTATGATATAGATGTCCCATTTAGAGCTGAGCACTTCACAGTCTCTTATTCTCTGTATTTTGAGTAGTCATGGGTCTCTGTATGAATCACCATCTACTGCAAAAAGAAGCTTCTCTGATGACAGTTGAAAAATGCCCTATTCTGGGCTGGAGAGATGGTTCAGTGAGTAAGAGCCCTGGCTGCTCTTGTAGAGGACCCGGGTTTGGTTGTTAGCACCCACATGGTGGGTAACAACCATCTGTAATTCCAATTCCAGGAATCTGACACCCTCTTCCTCCATGGGCACTGCATGCACATAGTGCATATTATATATACATATATATGCAAAACACATACACATAAAATATTTTTTTAAAAAGATGTCCTAATCTGTGGGTATAAGAGTAAGAACCCAGCCGGGCATGGTGGCACATGCCTTTAATCCCAGCACTTGGGAGGCAGAGGCAGGCGGATCTCTGTGAGTTCAAGGCCAGCCTGGTCTACATAGCAAGTTCCAGGACAGTTGGGGCTACAGGGAGACTCTGTCTCAAAAAGAAAAAAAAAAAAAAAAAGAGTAAGAACTCAAGCTGGGCGTAGTGGTGTATGCCTTTAATCCTAACACTCAGGAGGCAGAGGCAGGCACATCTCTGTGAGTTCAAGGCCAGCCTGGTCTACATCATGAGTTCTAGGACAGTTAAGGCTGCAGGGAAGGGAAACCCTATCTCAAAAAGACCAAAACAAAACAAAACAAAAAACCAAAACCAAAAAACCCTCAGAGGACAGTGTATTAGTAGGTCCACTTAGCAGAATAACAGTATTAGGTTCTCCCCTATGACTTTGGCAACCACAGGATTTGGGCCCAGTTAATGGTAGGTACCAGGTATGAGTTACATCTTGTGCAACAGGTCTTAAATCCAACCAGAATGTGGTTCATTACTGCCATAACATTCCTACCGCTATTGCACCCATGGGTATATCTTTTTATTTATTTATTTTAAAAATATTTTATTTTTATTTTATTTGTATGAATGTATTGCCTGCATGTATTATGTAAGTGCACCCATGTTGTGCAATGCCCACAGAGGTCAGAAGAGGGTGTCGGATTCCCTGGAACTGGAGTTACGGATGGCTGTCAGCCACCATGTGGATGCTGGGAATCGAACCCAGGGCCTCTGCAAGAAAAGCCAGTGCTCTTAACTGCTGAGCCATCTCTCCAGCCCTACCCATGGGTTTATCTTACCAAGCCAGTCATTATTGTAGCTTGCAGGGTTCACAGCAGGGTAAAACTTTTGATGACTTTTCTCCCCTGGTAGTATGCATAGAACCTTCCAGGACTATGAAAGCTAGCCAGTACAGATGAAGCTTCCAGGTATCAACTTGATTTCTCCATGTCCTATGACTCAGGTATGTGGTATCTTCAGGAATAGGGTATTACCATTAAGTTCTGGATGGTAGCCAAGAGCAATGGCAATATCTTGTAATTTTTTGGGAGGGGGGATCTGGGATCTCACTGACCAACAATAAAAGGTTTCTCATATCTGGCATTAGGCTTTTTTATTTAATAAA